CCTTGTGAGGGCAGCCCCACAGCCTCTCACATCTAGTCTGGGGCTGGGGAGGGGTGTCTGTGCTGGTTCAGCTCTGGGACCTGGCCTCAGACCCACACAAGCCCATGGGACTGTTGTCCCCAGGCCAGGCTTTGTCCCCTGGGGCTCTGTGCTGCTCAGGAGCTGTTCCCCTCCCTGGCACTCCGGGGCTCTTGCTCAGGGCAGAGCTCTGCTGACTCACCAGTGTTTGGTGCCACAAGCCCTGGGTTTGCACCCTCCTGGCTGGAGGTGAGGGGTGGGTGGGTGGGTGCCAGGGTCTCCAGCAGAGCCTCGCTGGCACCACACCATGCTCTGCTCCAGCCCCAGGTCAACCTCTACGGCTCCCATCCTTTCTACCTGGTGATGGAGGAGGACGGTTCAGCCCACGGTGTCTTTCTGCTGAACAGCAACGCGATGGGTGAGTCCTGGGGAGGTGCTGGGCGTGGGCTTGGCCCTGTCCCTGTCCTCAGCTTCTTCTTCCTCTGGCACTTGTGCTTCCCCAGACGTGCTCCTGCAGCCCAGCCCGGCCCTGACCTGGCGCACGACGGGCGGGATCCTGGACTTCTACATCTTCCTGGGCCCCGACCCCAAGAGCGTGGTGCGGCAGTACCTGGCTGTCATCGGTACGGGCGAGCCACGAGTGGGGCCGTGGGTGCTGTGAGCAGTGTGGCAGAGCTGGCGTGGCAGAGTGGGGCTGTGGAGCAGCGTGATGCTGGGCCATCCCTGTCAGCACCCACCCTCCCGCTTCCAGGGTTCCCTTTCATGCCCCCGTACTGGGGCCTGGGCTTCCACCTCTGCCGCTGGGGCTACTCATCCACCGACATCACCCGGCAGGTCGTGGCCAACATGACAGCAGCCCGCTTCCCCCTGGTAGGTCTGGGCTAATCCCCCAGCCTCTGTCCCACGGGAGCCACAGGGAGGTTGATGGGAGCTCCATGGGCGGGGGTCCCACGGCACTGTGCAGGAGTCCCTGCTCCACCCATGTCACCATTCACAGGATGTCCAGTGGAATGACCTGGATTACGCAGATGCCAAGAGGGATTTCACCTTCAACAAGAAAAGCTTTAAGGACTACCCAGAGATGGTGCAGGACTTCCACCGCTGCGGGCTGAGGTACATCATGATCGTGGTGAGTGACACCCCACACGGGTGGGCTGGCACCGGGGCTGCACTGCCCCAAGGGCAGTGATGGAGCTTCCTCTGAGGAAGGCAGGGCCGGCAGTTCCCTGCCCTTGCTGGTGAAGCCCCTGCTCTGTGCCCTGCCAGGATGCCGGGATCAGCAGCTCGGGACCCCCCGGCACCTACAAGCCCTACGATGAGGGACTGAAGCGAGGGGTGTTCATCCGAAATGCCACGGGGCAGCCCCTGGTCGGGAAGGTGTGTGTGGGGAGCAGCCCCGGTCCCTGCAGGAGGAGGGTTGAGCAGGACCCCAAGGGCCAGAGGGAAATGCTCAGGGGGTGGCTGTGATGGAAGGCAGGGTGGCAGGTGGGGCTGGGGTATCTGCCCATTGCTGCCTCCCTCCCGCAGGTCTGGCCGGGCCCAACGGTCTTCCCGGACTTCACCAATCCGGAGGCTCACGAGTGGTGGCATGACATGGTGAAGGACTTCCACGACCAAGTGCCTTTTGATGGCATGTGGCTTGTGAGTGGCCCTGGTGAACCTGCCGGCTACGGCTCCCTGGCTTCCTCCCTGCCCCTCTGCTGGGCCCCAGTGTGGCAGCGAGGGCATCCCGTCCTTTCCCTCCCCAGGACATGAACGAGCCGTCCAACTTCGTGGAGGGCTCCCAGGATGGCTGCCCCCAAAACAACCTGGAGCAGCCCCCCTACGTGCCAGGTACAGGAGTGGGTTCCAGCCCTGCCTGGGGCTGTGGGGATGCCGGGAGGATCCCGGAGGATGCTCCAGTCCCAGCTGAGTGGGCTCTGAACTTGCCCTTTGCCACGGCCCATCCTGTACAGGTGTGTTTGGGGGGCGTCTGCGAGCTGGGACCATCTGTGCCTCCAGCCAGCAGTACCTGTCCTCCCACTACAACCTGCACAGCCTGTACGGGCTCACCGAGGCCATCGCCTCCCACAAGTAAGCCGGGGCTCCTGCTGCAGCTCCTGCACATCCCAGGGGATGCCAGAGCTGGCAGAGAGCCCCAGCATGGGCAGTGTGGGCACAGGGAAGGCACTTGGTGGGTGGGGGAGGGTTTGGTGTGTACTGCCGTGTGCTGTGGGAGCTGCTGAGCCCCTTCCCCATCGGGGTGATGCTGAGCAGACCCTGCTCTGCCCTCAGTGCACTGCTGAGGGTCCGGGGCAAGCGCCCCTTCGTCATCTCGCGCTCCACGTTCGCTGGGCACGGGCGCTACGCCGGGCACTGGACAGGGGATGTCGGCAGCAACTGGGAGCAGCTCTACTACTCCATACCAGGTAGGCTGCAGGGCACTGGGACACATCCAGCCCTGCTTCCCTCCTGCGCTGGCCCCGCAGCCGGGGGCTGCTCCGCAGGCTGTCCCCCGGCACCACGGAGCCTCCATGCCCTCTCTGCCCCCTCCACAGAGGTGCTGCTCTTCAACCTGTTCGGGGTGCCGCTGGTGGGTGCCGACATCTGCGGCTTCGCGGGCGACACGTCCGAGGAGCTGTGCGTGCGCTGGACGCAGCTGGGCGCCTTCTACCCCTTCATGCGGAACCACAACGACCACGGCACCAGGGTGAGCCCCGGGGCCCTCACCCTGCCGGCCCGGGCTGGCATGCACGGGAAGGTGGCTGGTGCAGCTGCAGTGCCCGTGCCCTCGGTGCTGGGCCTGGGCTGGGGTCTGAGCGTCCCCCTGGGCCTCTCCCCTGCAGCCGCAGGAGCCGTACGCCTTCAGCCCTGCTGCCCAGGCTGCCATGAGGAACGCCCTGCGCCTCCGCTACTCCCTCCTGCCCTTCCTCTACACCCTCTTCCACCGGGCTCACACTGCCGGGGAGACGGTGGCACGGCCCCTCTTCCTCGAGTGAGTGCTGGCCCAGCCGGGGCCGGTGGGTGCCATCCCGCTGGGCTCAGTGGGAGGTGGGTGCAGGGTCTCCCTGGCGCTGCCCTTCCCTCCTCCAGGTTCCCCACAGACCCCAACACCTGGGCCGTGGACCGCCAGCTCCTGTGGGGCGGGGGGCTGCTCATCACCCCCGTGCTGGAGGCAGGAAAGACCAAAGTCAGCGGCTACTTCCCAGCAGGGACGTGGTACAGCCTGGCAGGGGTGGGTGCTGCCTGCTGTGTCATGGGACTGGGTGGGGGCTTTGTGTGGGTCCCGGGCCTCACCTGCCTTCACTCTTGGCCATCTGAGGACCAAAGTGCTGGCCCCCTTGGGCACATAGTACCCTGTGCCTGCTCGTCCCTCTCTGTCACCATTTAGGACTCCACCATCCACAGCAAAGGGCAGTGGATCCTCCTGCCAGCACCCCTGGACACCATCAACGTCCACGTCCGCGCAGGGCATATCCTGCCCCTGCAGGTGAGTCCCTCTGCTCCGCAGTGACACCGCGGTGACCTGCCTGGACAGCCTGGGGTGGGGTCGAGGCAGTCAGTGCCGAGGCAGCTGTGGCAGGGCCAGAAGATGTGGCTCTGGCAGTGCCCCGAGCTGTGCTCGCTCCCACGCCCCAGGAACCCGCCTTCAGCACGGCCCAGTCCCGCAGCAGGGGCATGGCCCTGGTTGTGGCGCTGACCCCGGACGGCTTCGCCAGGGGAGACCTGTTCTGGGATGATGGGGAGAGCTGGGAGACCTTTGAGAAGGGGGACTACACTGAGATCCTCTTCCTGGCCACGCACGTGAGTGAGGAGGGGCTGCTGGCAGGGGGCATCTGGGCAGGGGGTCCTGGTGGCCCTGGGGCACATGTGGTCACAGGCAGCACTGTGCCCTGGTGCAGCCGAGCTGTGTGGTGCCAAAAGTGCCAGACTGAGCAGCTGGAGGGGTGGAGGGGCCAGCATCCCCTCAGGATGCCCCAAGGAGGGAGAGAGGCTGCTCTCCTTGCACTTGCTCTGCACAGTGGATACTCTCCGGCCCCCTGGGCTCAGTGCCTGGCAGAGGGGCAGCACGAGGAGCAGGGCACCAGGGAAGACCTGTGTGCACGTGGGGTGTATGGGACCCCGGAGCACACGGTGACATCCCCGCTGTCCCCCAGGGCGCCGTGCTCAGCCAGCTGCTGCGGGCGAGCACCCACCTCGATGGGGTCCTGCTGGAGGCTGTGACTGTGCTGGGGGTCACCAGCCCTCCCCGGCAAGTCCTGGCCAACGGTGCCATTGTGAGTGACTTCTCCTACCGCAGTGACACCCAGGTGAGTGTTCGTCCCTGTCCCGTGGGGGTGGGAAGGGACAGGACGCAGCTGAGGGGCTGGTGAGGTCTGTCCCCAGCAATGGCACAGCACCAGCTCTGTCAGTGTGGGCTGGGTCACTGCTCTGGGGCCAGGCATGATTAGACCAGGACAGGAGTGAGGATGGGGAGATGGAGGAAGGAAAGGCCATGTGGTGATGGGGCTGGAGCTCAGAGGAGCAGCAGCACAGCTCTGCTCCTGGGGCTCCCTGCCACGGATGCCCTTCTGAGGGGCTCTGTGGGATCAGGACCATGCCAGGCTGTGGCTCTGTATGGGGGCAGAACACCCCCCTCTGCTCTGACACCTCCCAGCTCTACCTACTGCCAGCTGCCAACCCTTCCTTCTCCCCCTCAGGTGCTGAGGGTCCCCGTGTCACTGCCGATGTGGGAGCAGTTTGTGATCTCTTGGTCCTGAGCCACCCCTGGTCACAGGGAGAGGCCGTGCTGCTCCCCCCGGCTCCAGGGCCGAATCCATCCCATCCCTTGGGCAACCCGGAGCTGCCACTGCTCTTCCCACACCATGTGGCTCCTGGACTTCAGCTGCCCTGAGTCCATGGAGGGGTGTGCACTGGACTGGCACGGGGAGAGGAGCTTGCACAACCCCCGGGACAGGGAAAACCTCATCGTCCTCAAATCAGGGGAAAAAAGACCCAAGTGCCTTGTGAGACAGCAAACCTGTTTCTGGGGGGGACTGGTAGCCTCTGGGGGGCCTGTGGAGAGTCTCCTGGCTGTGGTTTTGGGGAGTGGGATCTGCAGGGGGGTGAGGGAGCAGTGCTGTGAATAAAGCTGCTGTTTGCTGGGAGCAGCCCCAGGCCGTGCCTGTGTCCCCTCTGCCACTGCTGGCACTGAACTGTGGCTCAGCCCCCTGCCCCTGGCTGGACGTGCTGGTTCCCTCCCTGCCTGGGGGTCTCCAGCAGGGCTGTCTGTGCCCCTTGCAGGCTTCACCCCATTTCCCAGAGCATTGGGGGGCCTCCTGGCTGCACCACAGAGCCCCTTGGCCTGATGTCCTGCTGGCTCCAAGCTGCAGGGACGTGCTCAGCTCCAGGCAGGAATGGAGCCCTGTCCTCCAGAAGCTGCACCCCCTCGTGCCCGCTGGGAGCACAGGGCTGTCCCAGAGCAGCGGGGACAGCAGCACAGGGGACGCTCACAGCTCGTTGTGCAGCGGCCGGCACTGGGGGCTCAGTTTCTCCTCCAGGACAGCGTCAGGGGCACACACCCAGGGGTCCCCCGTGTCCCACTGCCACTTGAGGAGCTGCGTGCGGAGCAGCTGGAAGACGTGGGCGTAGCGGGGGTCGGGGGCCAGGTTCTGGCTCTCGGTGGGGTCGCGGCTGCAGTCGAAGAGCTCCCAGCGGTCTCGGTAGTAGTACTGGTGCAGGGTCTTGTTCCAGTGGGTTGGCTGCCCGGCCCTGGTGCGGTTGAGCAGGTCTTGGAAAGTGGGCGAGACATAAAAGTCCTGGTCGATGGGAAAGGGCATCTTGTAGTTGAGGTTGTGGATGAGGCGGAACTGCCGGTGCTGGATGGCTCGCATGGGGTAGTACATGGTCACCTCGTGGTGGCTCTGGCTGCTGAAGGCGGTGGCCCAGGACTGCTCTGACTCCAGTGCTGGCAGGAGAGACTTTCCAGTGAGCTGCACCTGCTTTGTGCCAAAGATGCTGTAAGAGGGGTAGGGGATGGAGAACCAGTCCAAAATGGTCGGTGTCAGATCTGGAGGGAAAGAGAAAGGTGAGAGAAGGGACTGGCACCGTGGGAGGAAACAACCTGGAGAGGGGCAGAGGGTCCATGGGGTCTGCAGCTGCATGGGCTGTGGCTGCTCCTGGGATGAGCTGCAGAGCTGAGCCCTGGGATGCTGTCCCACAGGGGACCCTGTCCTGTTCTCCCTCCTCTCCCATCCAAGAGCTGCCCCCGGGACAAGACCCTGGGTTTCAGCGTGGGGAGCAGCCCACATCCCCCAGGCCCAGGCACGGGCTCTTACCCAGGAGGGTGGCGAAGGCCTGGCTGACCTGCCCCCAGCGCTGGGGGTGCTCGGGGGACGAGATGAGCAGCGGCTCGGCGGTGCCCGAGCGGTAGAGGTTGGTCCTGCCGCTGGGGAAGGGGATGCCATTGTCAGAGGTGTAGATCACCAGGGTGCTGTTGAGGAAGCCGGCACGGCGCAGCTCCTGCAGGACCAGCCCAATCCCTGCGGACAGAGGGGCAGAGCTGAGGGGGTGGGAGGGTCTGCAGTGCTCACCAGAGCCAGGCTGGCCCCGCGGCTCCTACCTTGGTCCATGCGCCCGATGGTTGTGTACTGGGCAGCCAGGTCCGCCCGGGCAGCCGGCGTGTCGGGAACAAAGGGGGGGACCTAAAGGAGAAGGGGACAGTGGCACATGGCCACCATGGGGAGGGAGGTCACATGATGGCCTTCACCAGCTCTTGCCTGTAATGCTGCTGGCAGTGACGAGGCGGGGGCCAGCCCTGGCTCCATCAGAGGCTGCCATCACGTGCAGCTCCCATGAGGCCCCACACAGCCCCATGCAGACCCACAGGTTCCCACCTGCACTTGCTCCGGGTGGTAAATCTGTGGCTTCCAGTCAGGGATCCAGCCCATCCCACTCTCTCCGTTACCAAATTTCTCACAAAAGGCCCCGTACTGGGGCTGGGAGTGCCCGCAGCGATGGGGGTCATGGAAGGCGACGTAGAGGAAGAAAGGCCTAGGGATGGAAAGGTGGAGGTGATGGAGCAAAGGGCTGCCCACACCCCCTGAGACCTTCCTGAGACCCTCCGCTGGGGTGAGCTGGGGTTGGCAGGAGGACTCCCACCTAGTCTGGGCTTCTGGATATGGGGTGACCCAGAGACAAGGGGTCCCTTCCTTTTTATGACCAGCTGGGACGTGGGGACACGTCTTCAGCGAATCTGGTTTCCCTCCTCTCCTGTGCCCCTCACAGCTGGCCCTGGGATGCGGGGGCCGTCTCACCTGTCGTCCTGGCTCTGCAGGAACCGCCTGACAAGCGCTTTGATCCGGGTGATGTTTCTCCCAACCTGCAAGACCGAACTGTTCTCTTCCGTGTAGGCAAAGTCGAAGGGGTACACAGCCTCTGGCCCAACATGCTTCTTCCCAATTATCCCTGCACGAACACAGGCAGGTGGTGTGCCAGGAGCAGAGGGAGTGGGGGGACATGGCTGCCGCTGTTTCCTCCCGGGGGATAGGCACGGGTTCAGGGGTGCTCCCTGGCTCACAGGCAGTTTAGCCATCAAGCTCTCCTGCCCACTGGGGATCGGTGCAAGAAGGGAGGGTTTCCCTTCTCATGTCCCTTGCCTTTGGCTCCCTACCTGTCCGGACACCTGCTTGGCTGAGCAGGTGGGGCAGGCTCCGCACGCCGTCGAAGGAATTGAAGTGGTGCACGTCCTGGTGCAGCCCGTACATCCCATTCTGGTGCTGCAGGTGAGGAGACACAGCATGCTTGGACAAGGGCTGCCAGCCTGGCCCCAAAACACATCCAGCCGTGCTCGCAATGTGTGAGTGGGGGAAGCAGGTCCTGGGGGCTGGGAAGAGGGTGGGCCAGCAGGTGGGGGGGTTTCCCCCGTCCTGGGACTGTGCCATAGGAATGCCAGTTCTGGCCAAGTGCCAAGGGCTGGCGGTGCCCCTACCTGCGGTAAGCCGGTCAGGATGCTGGCCCGGCTCGGGGAGCAGCTGCTGACGGAGGTGAAGGCATTCTGGAAGACCACACCACGCCGGGCCAGCGCGTCCAGGTTGGGCGTCCGGATGGCCGAGTTGTTGTAGGCGCCGCTCTCAAAGCCCCCGTCATCGGCTGCGGCGGGAGGGGTGCGGGTGAGCCCGAGGCGCGTCCGTGACCAGGCGCGGGGGCAGAGCCCGGGGTACGCTAATGACACCGACAGCATCCCCAGGCTGCGGGTGACCCGGGCTGGGGCCGGTGCTGCGGGGACCGCCCCAGTGGAGGGGATGCAGCGGGACCCCCGGACCGTCCCTCCCCGCCCATCCGCGGGGCGCCCCGAGCGCCGAGCCCCGGGCTGGGGGTTCCCGGGCAGGGGGTGACGGGCGCGGTCCCGGCCCCGGCTCGGGGGCTCGGCTGGGCCGGCGGCCGCACTCACCCAGGAACAGCAGCACATTGCGGGCCGGAGCCGGGGCTGCGCCGGCCCGGAGCGCTCCGAGCAGCAGCGCCAGCGCCCAGGGCCCCATGGCACCGGCACCGGCACCGGGACGGGGCGGCTCCTCCTCACCCCGGTCACATGAGGCGGCCCCGGCCGCTCAGATCCGGCCCGGGCGGAGCCACGGTCCCCGCGGGCGGAGCGGGCTGGCACCGCCCGGCCCGGCCCCGGGAGGGTCCCGCCCCGGGAGCGGAGCTGCGGCCGGGGGTGCCCGGGCCGGGGTGTCCCCGCCATGCCGGGGTCCCGCTGCCCGCGCCCGGCGCTGCCGGTGCTGCGCTGGCTCCCGCGGTACTCCCGGGCCTGGCTGCCGCTGGACCTGCTGGCCGGGCTGGCCGTGGGCCTGACCGCCGTGCCGCAGGCGCTGGCCTACGCCGAGCTGGCCGGGCTGCCGCTGCAGGTGGGTGCCGGCACCGGCGCTGGGACCCGGCGACCCCCGCGCCCCGAGCCGCCTGTGACCAGGGTGGTCTGGGACACTCTCCTCCTGAGCTGCCTGTGACCAGGGTGGTCTGGGACACTCTCCTCCTGAGCTGCCTGTGACTGGGGGCCCGGGGACCCCCGCTCCCCGAGCCGCCTGCAGCCCGGCAGCGTGGCGGGCAGGGCTAGGCTGGGCGACCAAGGGCTGACCCTGTGCAGTCGCCCGTTTGCCGGGCAGGAAGCTCCTGACGCCACGTGTGTGCCAAGTGCCCCGGAGTGACCCGAGATCAGCGCAGCCCTCCTCGCCGAGGAGGTGTCTGGCTTCTCCCAGCATCCAGCGTTACTCCAGTGGCCCTTCTGCCCCCCTGCAGTATGGCCTCTATTCCTCCTTCATGGGCTGCTTCGTCTACTTCTTCCTGGGCACTGCCAAAGACGTGACGCTGGGTCCCACGGCCATCATGTCACTGCTCGTCTCCTCCTACGCATTCCACGACCCTGTCTATGCCGTCCTGCTCGCCTTCCTCGCCGGCTGCATCCAGCTGGCCATGGGGCTCCTGCACCTCGGTGAGATGCTCTTGCCATGCTCCACTGTATTTTTAGGATATTGCTGTACATCCTGTAGTTGTTCCCCCCTTCTCTCTGCTCTCTGGGACACTAGGGTTGTCCTGCTAATGCTTGTGACAGCTCTGTGCACACAAACACCCCGTTTGGGTGCCTGCCAGGGACAGCAGTGTGCTCAGTGCTGCCCATCTCATGCAGGATTCCTTCTGGATTTCATTTCCTGCCCTGTCATTAAAGGGTTCACATCGGCTGCTTCCATCACCATTAGCTTCAACCAGATCAAGGTAGGATCTGCTCTGCCCTGGATGCCTCACCACCTGTCTCCTAGTGCTGTGGAACTGGGATATTTAACACTGGGCTGGGTGATGCATCTTGGTGCCAGAGGAAGGAGCCCCAAAGGGGTCGTGAGACCCCCTGCTCAGCAGTTCTGCTGGGTCCCTGAGAGCTCTGCTCTGAGCAGACCAAGCCAAACACACCCTTTGCTTGTGACCAGCTGGTGACATGCAGGACACCAGTAAATTTGGTCACTTGCAGGGGGTGCTGGGCGATTCTCTGTCACGGTGGGTTTGCAGCCCTTCAGCCCCTTGCTGGCCTCTCAGGGACGTGAGGCCGTGTGGCTCCGCTGGGGCTGCCTCGCTTCCTCTGTGGTTAACCCAAATCAGAGCCTCTGGCAGCAGCTGGCAGGCCGGGGTTGGCTAATGGCTGCGGTCATGGGGACGGCGCAGCTCCAGGGGCCGTGGCACCCTCAGCTGGAGCTGAGCCAGGCTCTCCCCAGGCTTTGTCTCCCTGCACAGAACATCCTGGGGCTGCAGGGGATCCCGCGGCAGTTTTTCCTGCAGGTGTATGAGACTCTGCGGAGGATCGGGGAGACCAGGTTGGCACTTCCCCGCTCCCTGCCCTGCAGCTGTGGGGCTGTTCCTGTGCCCCAGAGCGTGTTTGGGCTGGCACTGATGTGCCTGTTGCAGGGCTGGGGATGCTGTGCTGGGCCTGGCCTGCCTGGCCGCGCTGGCAGCGCTCCGGGCCATGAAGAGCCACCTGCCCCGAGCTGCCTCTGTGGAGCCTCTGGCTGCCAGGATCAGCTGCCAGATCGTCTGGATCTCTGCCACAGGTGTGCCAGCCATCCCCTGCCCCGTCCCCTCCCGCAGCCATTCCTCCTGGGGCTCATCTCTTTGGGGCAAGGAAGAGACAGCCCAAAACTGGTAAAACCGAGGTTGGCAGGAGCGGAGATGTGGGAAATGGGTCAGGGAGGACAAAGTCCTAAGAGTAGTCCTGCCACTGTGCACGCCCCTTCCCAAGGCTTGGAAGTCTTTGGCAGCTCAGATACCCATCTCCAGCCGTCCCTCCTGCTGCCCTGCCTCTGGGCAGGTTTCCAGGGTTGCTCTCTCCTCTGCAGCACGCAACGCCCTCGTCGTCCTGTTTGCTGGCCTGGTTGCTTACTCCTTCGAGGCGATGGGCTCCCAGCCCCTCACGCTCACCGGCAGCATCCCCCGGGGCCTCCCTGCCTTCCATCCACCGCACTTCTCCACGGCAGCGCCCAACGGCACCGTCCCCTTCCACAGCATGGTGCAGGTGAGTGCCGGGGGGGCTGGTGGAGGCCAAGCTCCCCTTGGGCTGCTCTGCTCCCTCCTGCGTGTGCTGGCTCCCTGCACGTTGGGATGAGGCCACTCACTGGATCCTTCCCTCCCAGGACATGGGGGTCGGGCTGGCCGTGGTCCCGCTCATGGGCCTGCTGGAGACCATCGCCATTGCCAAGGCTTTTGGTACGGCTGCACCAGAGTCCTGCCCTGCACTCGGGGGGGGTCCCAAAGGGCCTTGAGGTGCTGGGGAGGGGCACGAGGGCACTGGTCTGCCTGTGCTGAGCCCGTTCCATCGTGTGGGCTGGTAGGAGGGGTCCCGCAGGGAGCACAGCTGAAATTTGCTGTGTGTTGTCTCGGGGTGCTCCTGTGCCCGAGGGGTGTCAGGACAGGACCCACACTGTCCCAGTCAGTGCTGGCCCCACTCCCTGTGCATGGCAGGTTGTGCCTGCGGGAGTCTCGGGCCCATGCAGATATCTCCTTTCAGCCTCGCAGAATGGTTACAGGATTGACCCCAACCAGGAGCTGCTGGCTCTGGGTAAGACACTGCTTTGGAGCAGGAGGTTCAGGGGTGGGGGTCTGGCTTCAGCACTACCATGTATCCTAGAGCGCCTGAGCTACAGGAGATCCCATCTCAGCAGTCCTGCCGCTCCCTGAAGTTTTCCCTTTCTTACCTTGCATGCTGCCCCCACCAAAGCTGTCCCCACAGCGTGGGAGTTTCCAGAGCAGGCTGAGTCACACTTGCACAGCGGGATGGACTCTGATCTGGCCCCTGGTACTGGGATTGGAGGAAGTGCTGATGGGGACACAGACCCATCTCATGGCCCTGGTGGTGCCTCCCCAGCCCCTCTCCTTCCCCTCCACAGGCATTGCCAACATCCTGGGCTCCTTTGTCTCATCATATCCCATCACGGGCAGCTTCGGCCGGTGGGTAGCAGGAGAGGGGGCAGACCCCAACCTACAGGACACTCACTGGGTCTATGTGGTGAGGGGACAGACCCCAGCCCACAGGACACTCACTGGGTCTATGTGGTGAGGGGGCTTTGCAAGATCTTGGGTGGAAGATTGTGCAGACTCCAGTGGGTCTCTGAGCTTATCTCCTGGTCCTAGCAGCCCACCTTGGTGGCCGGGCTGTGTGTGTGTCCCAGGGCCACCTTCTCTCCCGTCTCGGTGCTCTGCGGTCCCGCTGCAGGCTGGGAGCCTCTCATGTTTCTTGCTTGTTTTTCTCCCTGGTGGGGTCGGGCAGGGTCAGTGATTTTCCTGGGTGGGGTGTCTGGGCAGTGGGTGGGGGCTGCCCCTGGCCCCCTCACAGCCTGGGACTTACCTTTGCATTTCAGGACAGCGGTGAATGCGCAGTCAGGGGTCTGCACCCCCGCGGGAGGGCTCGTCACAGGTAGAGCCCTGACCCTGCCGTGGGCTGCTCTGCAGGCCCCGCTGCCTGGGAGCTCTGGGCATCAGGGACCCCTTGGCTCAGGGGCTGCCCATGTCCCGCAGGTGCCCTGGTGCTGCTCTCGCTGGCCTACCTCACCTCGCTCTTCTACTACATCCCCAAGGCGGCGCTGGCCGCTGTCATCATCTCAGCCGTGGTGCCCATGTTCGACGCTGGGATCTTCAGGACGCTCTGGCGGGTTAAGAGTGAGGGCACGAGCTGGGGGAGCTGATCCCCTGGTGCAGCTCAGCTCTGCCTGCAGAGCAGGCACTGTCCCTGAGGCCCCTGTGGCATCAGGACAAAGCAAAGCTGAGCCTGGGCTGTCTGTCTCGTAGGGCTGGACCTTGTGCCCCTCTGTGTGACGTTCCTGTTCTGCTTCTGGGAGGTGCAGTATGGAATTGTGGCCGGGGTTCTGGTCTCAGGGATTCTCCTGCTCTACTCCATTGCCAGGCCCCCAATAAAGGTGGGTGTCACACCTCCCCTCAGATGTGGCAGGGCCACAGGGATCTCCAGGGATCTGGGAGAGGGCTCCTGAGGGCAGTGAGGTGTTGGGGTGCATGATGCTTCCTGTTCATGCCCTTTCCCATGTCACCAGCCTGCCATGGGCTCAGCACAGGGACCTCTTTCAAAGAGCACAAGGAAGGGAATCTCCCAGGGTTGGAGAGCAGGAGGGGGAGGCATTGCTGTCCCTGTCCTGCTGACGCTGGGTGTGGGCAGGAGGGGCTTTCCCTCAGGGATGGGGGCTCCTGTGTGTCCCTCTCTGTCCAGGAGGACAGTGGGTGACATGGGCAGTTGTCCCCACCTGGGAAGGTCACAGCCCTGAGTTCCCAGTGACTTGTCCCCCTGCACTGGGGTCTGTGCAGGTGTCGGAGGGGGACGTGCTCCTCGTGCAGCCAGGGAGCAGCCTGCACTTCCCAGCCATCGAGTGCCTCCGGGACACTGTGTGCAGCCGTGCTCTGGCAGGTACGGTGCTCCCTGGCCTGCTGGCTTGTCCTGGGGACCCAGCTGACACCTGGTGCCCACCTGGATCACTTCTGGTGGGGCTGGCAAGTGCTGCCCAGACCTGCAGGCTGCAGGTACAAGTGGTGACAGCACAGCTTCCCTGT